GAGCAGGGAGCCTGATGCGGGACTCGATCCTGGGACTCCAGGATCATGACCTGAGCCGAAGGCAGTCGCTTAACCAACTGAGCCACCCAGGCGCCCCAATATGGAATTGTTTTAAGTACTGCAAAACATCACCACTTACACAATTCACTGATTACCAATGAAGTTAGTTTTATGGGTATTTCTTCTTGCTTTTTACAAAACATCATTTATTATTATAAGAGTAGTTATATTACACAACCTACTTATGAAAATCTTTAGCTACAGATTAAAATTAAATGAAACCATAAATACTTCCTGCATTCTAAAAGTTCACATTAAGTATAAATTAAAGCCAATTCACTTCTTTTCTATGTTCCATTCAGCTTAGTAATCCTATGTGAGGAAATATTTACATTACCTGATAGGATTTTGTGATAGTTAAAAAAAAAAAAGTAAATTTACTTTCTATATCAGCAGCATCTGGTAAACTAAAGTTTTTTCTAAGTATGAATTTTCTAATTATGCCAAAGCTTATCTTCACATATAACTAATACTTTTCAAAGTTTAAAAGTCACTTTGGAATGTTTAGTGACACAAGATTATTCACATAAAAGTAATATTAATAAAAGTAGTAATTAAAAAGGGGAGAGGGATTATTGGGAATAAAAGCCAAATGATATGTTTCCAATTATATAAATTTATCCAGTCTTTGATTACACTCATGTTATTAAACCTCAAAAGTCACTGAGCATCAAAACAGCTAACAAAAAACTCAAATCATAAATTCTTTAATTTTAATAATCAAATACTACACTTAAAGTCATACCTTAAAACAGAAGTAAAAGATTTAAAATACTCTTTCAGAAAAAAAGAAAGGTTCAAAAAAGGATATTACACAGTGAAATCAATGAGCAAACTATTAAATGAAAAGATGGAAAAAAGGACTCTGAGATATGAAAGGCTAGGACTCCTTTCATACTCCACTTCATCCTGAAATTCCAAATAAATTTCCTCATTTAAGTATTTTCAGCATTTGTATTTTTATACATCTCTGGTTCTTATCATTACTGATTTTAAAGAAAAATTCCCTATTAAAAATGGGCTTGTATCTTTTCCAAAACTAAAGATACACTCTAGTTTTTACTTTGTGGGGGAGAGAGGGAAACAAAACCAAAAGGACAGGAAAAAAACACCTTTTGCCTTACAACTGAATTAAGGCCACTTGGCACAGACCGCTGGGTTGTCCAGCAAAACTGAGTACGAGGCGTGTGCCCGCACTGCTCCAGGCAGTGGCGCTGTGGCAGCAGAAACTCAGCTTTTCCTTTTGGACTTTATCCACCTTTGAAGTTCTCATTTATAAATTAGCCTCACAAACTGTAGTGCTTTCCAGATATTAACCTTATAGCATTCTCCTATATATCCCAGTAGGACTGGTAAAACAAAAAATAGAATAAAAATAAAGAGACTAGGGGCGCCTGGGTGGCTCAGTTGGTTAAGCGACTGCCTTCGGCTCAGGTCATGATCCTGGAATCCCAGGATCGAGTCCCGCATCGGGCTCCCTGCTCGGCAGGGAGTCTGCTTCTCCCTCTGACCCTCCCCCCTCTCATGTGCTCTCTCTCTCTGTCATTCTCTCTCTCAAATAAATAAATAAAATCTTTAAAAAAAATAAATAAATAAAAATAAAGAGACTAGTTGGTACAGCAAGATTAAAGGACTGGCCAAGCTAGATATATTCACCATTCACTAACCCAGGCTGTGCCTCTACAATGGAAATCCTTCCCAGTTATGCATTCTATTTGGCAAAATTCAAATGAACAAAATACATAAAATTCAACTCAAAAAGTCATCAACTAACGTATCAAAAAACAATCAAATCTCAGTACAAAGCCAGCAATTAAACAGGTGCCATTTTAGATACATACAGCTACTACTGTTTACTGAGGCCCTAAAATTTGTCAGATGTAACCTTGGCAGTTTTTACACTGTCATAACCTTCTAACTGCCCAGAAAAGAAGGTATTAGTAATTTCCATTTTAGAGCTGGGGTCTTCTACTCTGAGAGGTTCGGGAACCTGCCCAAGATCAGACCACTTTTCTGCAGCGGGCTTGGAGGGGCTCCAGATCTGAATGGAACCAAAATCCATGCCTCTCATCATGTCACTATACTACACGCACAGGAGAATGAAAGACTTTTAGAGTTCTGGAAGGTAAAAACAGAAAGCTGGAAGAGATAAATGTAAGTGGCGACACTGAAATATTACAAAACACAGATAAGAAAGGTCTGGAAACATGAAATAAACCATCAATGAATCAGCTACAGCAATAGCAAAAAAAGTCAAGTGTGAGTCCCAATTCATTCTGTTCCTCTGACAATTTGGAAATTTTAATACTGTCAGATTTTATAATGTGGCTAGTAGTGTAAATGCTACCTTCTCTAAAAGGGGGCAAATAAGACAAAATGAAAAAGAGTAAGTTGACTGACAGGTTTTTTAAGGCACATATAAAACCAAACAATATTTTTACTACATGGGAAAAACCAACCTAGTAGAGACCCTATACAGCAAATCCTATGAAAATTGACAAAGTCAGCATGTGACCACTGGGAACCAAAGCCAGTTCTTGAACCTCATTTGAATACAGAGGGGAAAAAACAATTCAAATAGACAATTCACTATAAGGTTTTTAAAAAAATAAGATAGTAAATTTAAAAATGAAATCTAAAGCAACCTTGAAGTTGATTCTGTAGTTTCTTTTTTTCAGGATCATCAGTTTCTCCTTCCCCATCACTGTCATTCCTAATAAAAAGAATTTAATATATTCAAATGATCACTCATTGCTATCAAAATAAGGCAAAAATGAAGGAATAATTAATCTGAGATCTGTAACTTAAGTGGCAAAATAAGACATTCACATTAAAAGTTATGCTTATTTTATTACTTTTAAGAGTATATTAAATAAAATAGTAAGCAGGCATATTACCCATCAATATGGAATCATGAACAGGAAAGGAGCAAAAAGACCAGAATGAAGTCAGGAACCAGCTCCAAATTCCCACGACATACCGATGTATGTACAAATTCATAAACATATGCCCACACACCTCATTCCACAAAAGACTTAAGATGAGTTACAGAAGTGTTGTGAATAACATAAAAACATCAAACCAGGCAAACTATGTATCAGAACGAGAAGCCATAACCAGGAGAGAAAAACCCAGAATATTAATTATTTAAGGTATAAAGGTCTATAATCCTTAGTCTGGGGGTTCCAGAGAATAGATGAAGCTATTGAGGAAAATGAACTGAGACCAAAAGACAAGTAAATCAACCCAGATATTTCATATCTGAGAATTTATTCTGAAAAAATAACTTAAAAGGCATTCAAATATTTGACTACAAGGAAAATCATGCCCACAGTTCCCCAAAGGGAAAAATTAGAAATAAAGTATGTTCAGTTATGGGGATAGACTACATTGCATATGATAGACTACACTGCAATCTTTAAAAATGATGTTGTAGAAATAGTTTACTGAGATGTTTATAATACAACGTTGAATGAAAAAGTGATAAAGTAAAAAATATGGCATTACATCATTTTTTACACAGAACATATAAAGGGAGATTTAAAAGCTTGACAGATTTTCCCCCAAAATGGGATTGGCTTGTTCATCATAGGATAGTGGGGTTATGGGTTGGGCAGAGACTGCCAACTGATTCACTTGATATTCACTCCGACCTTCTTCTACCAGGCTTTCTTCTACAATGAAGATTGTACTTACAAAAAGTTGCCCTTTCCGGGCTTCCCTGCAGCTAGGGCCCCATATCAGACCAAAGTTCCTCCAAGAAGGTGGAGGCAGGAACTGAGGTGGCAGCTGCATGCGAGGAGACCATCCCTTCGAGCGAAAGCCGTGGCGTGCTGAGGGACCTGTGGCAGACATCCTACTGGCCCCTGCCTGGCATCAGAAGGCCTTGACAGTGGCGTTGGCAGCAGCGGGATCCCTACCAGAACCACCCTGGTGGAGGTGGCCATTTCTCCTAACGATATGGAATCCAAGCTTGATTCCCTGCCCCCACCCCAAAATGTATAAGGTCAATATTCTATAGTAAGCCCCTTTTTGTTAAATTAGCCAAGGTGGGTCCTGCTATTCAATACAGAATTGGCACCCCCCACCCCCCCCATGGAAGCCATCTCAGGAAGGGAGAACACAGGGTCTTCAAGCAAGACCAGAGACCAGAGAAGCCTCCACTCACAGGGAGGAGAGGACATTTCTGCTGGCAAGGGAGTCTCAGGAAGAGTAGGGGGTCCAGGCACTTGAGGTTAATGAAATTTTTCACAAGCGTTTCATTTTAATTTTGCAGACCCAGTCTTCCAAATGGCCCAACCTTCACATAAGAAACCCTAAAGTTGACTCTATGTTGAAATTCAACAATCTGTAAGATCAGGTGGGGTCTGATTTTTGTTATGTCAATGCTGTAGGTGCAGAAGATAAAAATATTCTTAGGTGTCACAGGAACTCCCTGGTTTCCTGACCATGTCTTGAATAGAGAATATAAAATCTTGAGCTTTTAATTCTCTTCAAACTCTCCCATGTGGTCAACTCTAGTTTTTGTTTTTTTTTAATTTTTAATTTTATTATGGTATGTTAATCACCATACATTACATCATTAGTTTTTGATGTAGTGTTCCATGATTCACTGTTTGCGTATAACACCCAGTGCTCCATGCAGTACGTACCCATCACCAGGCTAACCCATCCCCCACCCCCCTCCCCTCTAGAACCCTCAGTTTG